TCAACTCTTATGCCCATACTTTGCCACGCCTAAACAAGAGATCTTTGATGTAAATTGTTTTGTACCTGTCCAATCCTTTTTTGGTTTTATGGGACGGGTGGTCAATGCTAGGTCACCTTTGACAGCATTTTGTCGGGTTCTCTAGCAGTAGCACCCCTCTCCCTTCCTCTCTCCCGTCGCAAATATCTGCAGAGCCATAGTTACACTATTACGCTGAGAGAGAATGCTGATAAATCTTGCAAATATGTCTTGCTATGTTTTTCTCTTCCTAAGGTTCTTAGATTTGAGCATTCACCGGTAGTGTGGTTACATACATTGACCAAGCTTAATACTCCGGTTTCAGTGCTGTTTGTTTGCTTTTTTTGTTTTGTTTTGTTTGTTTGTTGCTGTTTTTATTGTTCTTATTGTTTTCCTAGAAAAAGCATAACGGTCAATCTTTTTATCACTCAGACGAGGGAGCGGTGTTTTTGTTCTGTTACCTTTTCACCACAAGGGAGAACTTCCTGTTGACAACCATGTCCCGGATATACCGGAAAGATCCTCTGAGTGATCTGATTGGTCATTTGACGGCTTCTTTGTGTTTCTTGGAGTACCTGGTCCAGTTTAGTCTCCTCTGGATGGGAAATAGGATTATTTAGAGTCTGTGCAAAATAACGTTCCACAGCTTTCAACAATTTCAGAAGCCACAGCCACACGAAGGATTGCTAATTAAAAGTTCAAAGTTTACATTTTTGAATTTAAATTAATGAAGGGTTAATGAACCATATAGGGAACTACACAAAAGCATGCACTTACCCGTCAGAGGAAAGGCATAACCATAAGTTGCAAAGTAGGTACGGTAAAGATCCTCGACAACTGCATCTAGAGCCTTGACATTAAATGCATGTGTGATTAATTTAACAGTGTTCTGTTTCTTTCTAAAGGAACATAAGTATGGTGGTTACAAGTATGGTCTTTGGTATAATGATCTAGTGTAAATAAACGTTATTGTTCTGCTATAGCGTATCTTCTCCATAGCCCGTGTGCCTTGTTTCCGAGTTCAATAAGAGAAGGAGAGTCAGGTTTAGTTAGGGTTTAGTATGACGAGCAGACCGGCAAAAAGGTCAATCAACTTTCCCGTGAATAGAGTACCTCAATAGCGACTAAAATTATCGACTGGCTATACTAATACTCCCTATATGAGACATTAGTCCATAGCAGCACAATGCCAATTCGTTCAAGTACGGGTTCTTAATATTCTTACATGCTGAGAGCGTTGTAAGAGTGATGGACTTCTATGCCTTTCCTTAGGAGGCATGACGCTAGGTTTAAGCAAAACCGTGATTTCGTAAACGTTTAGGTTAGTTACTCAACTTAAAATGATTGGAAAGAAACGCGGTGTTTTAAAATTACATCGTGAATGAATTCTGTCTTCGGTTTGGTACTGGTTCTTCATAACAGATAACCGAGAGCGTCCAAAACAAGCCGCTGTTGTTATTGAATAAATGTCCCCACTTACCCGCTGTTTATTCGTTGGAATATTTGATCTTGTAGACAATGTACAGTTTCTCAAAGACCACAGTAGTGTGATGCAATTAGATATCAGGTTCAAAGGTACAGGTATGGGATCGTAAGCACTGTAAACTTGGATGGTGATTGCTTTCTTGTATGACCACTCCATTAAAGAATGGTCCTGAAAATAAACGCAAAAATCCATCAGTGCAATAGTTCGGAAACTAAGAGCTTAGCAGCGTAGAGGTAAAGGAAGAAGGGGGAGGGAGGAACGGAGGCTGAGGCAAGCAGACGGGCAGGAAGGCAGGCAGGCAGGCAGGAAGGCAGGAAGGCAGGAAGGCAGGCAGGCAGTTGCAGGAAGGCAAGAAGGAAAAAAGGGACGGAGGAAAAAAGGAAGGAGGGAAAGAAGCACTTGAAAATGAGCCTCTGGCTCGGGAGATTGCACAAGCACTCCCCGTGTTATTAACAATTAATTACGTACTTTCTTGCCTACTAAGGAAGGAAGGATGTAATGGTCGATTCTCTCTATGAGACCCACCTGCAGGGAATCATGGTAGTTGTATTCATGAAAGCAATATCCAGTCCANTTGTCTGATTATGTTTCCCTTTAAAAAGAATAGCTAATAAATTTGTATGAATGTCAAAAATGGGGAAATATGAACTGCACATAAATTTAGTACAGTTACAGTTACTGTTACAGTTACTGTTAATTATTTTAATTTACGCATACTATTTTTCCTTCTTTTTTATTTTCGCAAGAGGCAGCTTTTGGAACAGTTAGTCACATGACGTGCGTTTCAAGAACACACTGATTTAGTCATTGGTTATGTATTTTATCAGAAATGGACAGAACATCTACAAATAATAAACCACTATAAACATTTAAAAAAAAAAAAAAAAATTAAAAATAAGCTTACATGCTGCAGTGGTTTTCCATATAAATCCCAGTAATTTTGCAAGTTTTCAAACTGCCATAAAATATGTCCCTAGAATTTTCCACTCTCTCTGATAATTTACCCCTCTTTCTATCTTCAACAGTTGTATGCTAGCAGCTTTATTTTGTAGTAATTTAAAACGGAAAGGTTTCTGGAGGGGAAATCTTCCTCACCCCCCTCCCTGGGGAAGCACCTCCCAATTAAAAAGGACGGAGGTCCTCGTTGGAAATTTTGAAAAGAACCCTTAAGAGGTACCAATTCTAATACAACACATTATCTCCTGTCATATGTTTTGAAAGCTTCCACTGAGGAACACCCCTGAAAGGTACAAAGAGCACCCCTGTCCTTATTATATAGGATTCCCTTCACTGAGTTCCTCACAAACATACAAAACCTTCCATTTTTGGCACTATTCAATTCATCATTGAATCTCAACCTTAGATGGTATGGGTCTGAAAATGGGTAATCTGGCTATTTAAAACATGCTCTTTCCAGCTCTGAAATTCATTTAGCTATCGCTAAAAGTTTAGAAATTATTGGTCACATGACCAACCATTGGAAAAAAAAAAAAACCTATTAGGGAACTTACATTAATTTTAAAGGTAATCGAATCAATAAGTGGTTGTGAATGGACGAATATCAAGCTATATATATACATATACAGAGAAAATACATCCGATAATTATGTAGTACCTCGAAATGAGAATGTTGTGGAGAGAAAGGAGTGAGATATCTTGCACCGTGGTACTCAGCTGGGTCATCTTTACATGTTGGACAAGCCTCCGCTCCTTCACACGTCAAAAGACATCCTTCAACTCTTATGCCCATACTTTGCCACGCCTAAACAAGAGATCTTTGATGTAAATTGTTTTGTACCTGTCCAATCCTTTTTTGGTTTTATGGGACGGGTGGTCAATGCTAGGTCACCTTTGACAGCATTTTGTCGGGTTCTCTAGCAGTAGCACCCCTCTCCCTTCCTCTCTCCCGTCGCAAATATCTGCAGAGCCATAGTTACACTATTACGCTGAGAGAGAATGCTGATAAATCTTGCAAATATGTCTTGCTATGTTTTTCTCTTCCTAAGGTTCTTAGATTTGAGCATTCACCGGTAGTGTGGTTACATACATTGACCAAGCTTAATACTCCGGTTTCAGTGCTGTTTGTTTGCTTTTTTTGTTTTGTTTTGTTTGTTTGTTGCTGTTTTTATTGTTCTTATTGTTTTCCTAGAAAAAGCATAACGGTCAATCTTTTTATCACTCAGACGAGGGAGCGGTGTTTTTGCTCTGTTACCTTTTCACCACAAGGGAGAACTTCCTGTTGACAACCATGTCCCGGATGTACCGGAAAGATCCTCTGAGTGATCTGATTGGTCATTTGACGGCTTCTTTGTGTTTCTTGGAGCACCTGGTCCAGTTTAGTCTCCTCTGGATGAGAAATAGGATTATTTAGAGTCTGTGCAAAATAACGTTCCACAGCTTTTAACAATTTCAGAAACCACAGCCACTCGAAGAATTGCCAATTAAAAGTTCAAAGTTTACATCTTTGAATTCAAATTAATGAAGGATTAATGAACCATATAGGGAACTACACAAAAGGATGCACTTACCCGTCAGAGGAAAGGCATAGCCATAAGTTGCAAAGTAGGTACGGTAAAGATCCTCGACAACTGCATCTAGAGCCTTGAGATTACATGCATGTGCGATTAATTTAGCTGTGTTCTGTTTCTTTCTAAAGGAACATAAGTATGGTGGTTACAAGTATGGTCTTTGGTATAATGATCTAGTGTAAATAAACGTTATTGTTCTGCTATAGCGTATCTTCTCCATAGCCCGTGTGCCTTGTTTCCGAGTTCAATAAGAGAAGGAGAGTCAGGTTTAGTTAGGGTTTAGTATGACGAGCAGACCGGCAAAAAGGTCAATCAACTTTCCCGTGAATAGAGTACCTCAATAGCGACTAAAATTATCGACTGGCTATACTAATACTCCCTATATGAGACATTAGTCCATAGCAGCACAATGCCAATTCGTTCAAGTACGGGTTCTTAATATTCTTACATGCTGAGAGCGTTGTAAGAGTGATGGACTTCTATGCCTTTCCTTAGGAGGCATGACGCTAGGTTTAAGCAAAACCGTGATTTCGTAAACGTTTAGGTTAGTTACTCAACTTAAAATGATTGGAAAGAAACGCGGTGTTTTAAAATTACATCGTGAATGAATTCTGTCTTCGGTTTGGTACTGGTTCTTCATAACAGATAACCGAGAGCGTCCAAAACAAGCCGCTGTTGTTATTGAATAAATGTCCCCACTTACCCGCTGTTTATTCGTTGGAATATTTGATCTTGTAGACAATGTACAGTTTCTCAAAGACCACAGTAGTGTGATGCAATTAGATATCAGGTTCAAAGGTACAGGTATGGGATCGTAAGCACTGTAAACTTGGATGGTGATTGCTTTCTTGTATGACCACTCCATTAAAGAATGGTCCTGAAAATAAACGCAAAAATCCATCAGTGCAATAGTTCGGAAACTAAGAGCTTAGCAGCGTAGAGGTAAAGGAAGAAGGGGGAGGGAGGAACGGAGGCTGAGGCAAGCAGACGGGCAGGAAGGCAGGCAGGCAGGCAGGAAGGCAGGAAGGCAGGAAGGCAGGCAGGCAGTTGCAGGAAGGCAAGAAGGAAAAAAGGGACGGAGGAAAAAAGGAAGGAGGGAAAGAAGCACTTGAAAATGAGCCTCTGGCTCGGGAGATTGCACAAGCACTCCCCGTGTTATTAACAATTAATTACGTACTTTCTTGCCTACTAAGGAAGGAAGGATGTAATGGTCGATTCTCTCTATGAGACCCACCTGCAGGGAATCATGGTAGTTGTATTCATGAAAGCAATATCCAGTCCAAGATGATGAATACAACTACCATGATTCCCAGCAGGCGTGACTCAGTGAGGGAACTGGACATGAAACAACTCTATGTACAGATGTATACACCTCAGTACGTACCGCGACTTGCTGATATGTGTTTGATAAAAGAGCAATCATCATGTTGATTAGAAGAATAACGGCCATAATCAAAAACACACCGTACAGGAAATACGCTAGAATGACCGAAGGACTATCAACTGAATCGAGAGGATCCAGATCTGCTATCCCCAGCAAGGACCATAAGAAGTGTTTGAGCATCGACCACCAACTGTCGAAATGAAGAAATTATTGCAGTTATAGCTCAGTCGACAGGGCAGATTTCAATTGAGTGTCGTAAAACCAAAATTATCACTCTTGCCAATCACATTTTAAAGAGACAATCCAGTGAACCAATCAACTGCAAAGCAAATAGAGGTCGCCGACACAAAGCGCGTGAAAAATGGTATCACATAAAACGTACACATTACATAAATAGCTGAAAAGCCCATCGGCGTTTTAGAAATTACAGCTGGCTAACCTTCATATTCAATTTTTTGCGGTTCTATGGAGTTCTGTTACTTTTTAGTTTTCATTGCAAGATGCTAACGAACGTGCAAAGGCATCCCTTAAAATCCAGCTGCATCATCGACGCCATTTATCCATTTATCACAGAGATGCTCATCATGTCTACAGCAGTCAATGCTGATAGGAAAACTTCCAACAGCTTACTCAGTCACAGCATTATGAGTTATTTTGGCAACGTACAAAATTGCCTTTAAATTAAAGGAAAAATTAAAGTAATACCTTACTAAGATAGAAACGCACTAAAGAGATAATAAGCCATAAAGAAACCAGAATGGTTAAGAATGGAGAAGATTAACACGGATCACAAACGATGAACTCGAAAAATTTAGGCAACTGGCTCAACTTTTTTGAGATGCGCAAACCATGACGTGGCTCCTTTAAATGGTACTAACCACATCAAACAAACAAAACAATTAAGAAAGCAGTTCACAAGGTTAGACATATACAGGAGTTATCTTAATCATACCAGTATATTCCGGTAGTGCTGCATGCCCTGAAATGACACAACATATTGACAATTTTAGACAGTGACGTTAAGATGGCATACACATTTAAAGGAACTAAATTCCCTGACTGCACGAAGAAAAAGTATTTTCAAATGAATTCAACATCAGTGCTTTAGCGTACGGTATTGCAAGAACCCAGCCTGCGCTAAAACATCAAAATGGCTTTAATAAAATTAATTGCTAAAAGCAATTTTACTTACAGATCTCTTCCAATGCCATTTTCGATAACATACGATTTTTCAGCCATATAAACTTTGGTTGCAGCCAGGGAAAAGGCTAAAATGGTTGCCAAAAACTGCCAAAAGATAGTGACCACATCTCCAATTATGTGGAACAAAGCAATCTGAATGGCACCGATTCTTTTTGTCGTCTCCATCATGTGACCAAACGCCCTGAGCGTGAGTAACATGGTATTGAGTCCGTACAAGTAACCAGTAATGACCAGGACTCGATTGTTGACAACTGCACCAGATAAAGCCCACGTAACCATTCTCAGTGTAAATGTAGCCAGGTAAATCACGATGGTGGCAGTGTCCAGGATTTTCCAGCAATCGCTGAAAAGAAATAATAGTGTCTGTTAGCTAGTTTCACTGATTACTGTCTTATATAGGCCACAATAGCGACATAACGAGATAAGCGACATAACGTCTTAATCGCTTATGTCGGTAATGTGAACATCGACATAAAGATAATTACAACGAAAAGATCAGTTTTTTTTTCCTTTATTCATTATGTTCATGCTGTTATGTTGCTATTATGTCATTATGTCAGGATGTTCACACTGCAAACATAACGACACAACGACATAACGTCCTTCTTATGTCGTTATGTGTTGCTACAGTAAACTAGACCTTATCTGAATGCCAAGTTTGGAGACGTGAAAGATAAACAGTGAGTGAAAATATTGAGACTAGTTTCTTTTGGCATTTGAGGTCTTAAGAACGCCGGCCTTCGGTTTTGATGAGGATGCAATTAAGACTTTGTTCGGCAGTTTTATAAAAGAAGGTATTAGCAGACGGTGAACATGCTATTTCATTTTCCAGAAATAGCTGGGAATTACTTTATGGACAGAAAAATGAATATGTATTTTTGGCCTGTTTTCAGTTGCTACTGCAAAACAAAAATAAATATTAAACAAATTCAAACAAAGTAACGTGAAGTAGTACAAATCGCGGCTACAAGGTTAAAGTTCACAATGACTTTTTCTCTTAATTCTGAGGACGTCGTTTTCACTACAACCACTTGAGAGGTTTTCATTTGAGTGTTGGAAATTAATTGGTTTTGCACTTACTACTCTTCGTGATTGGCTTAATAAGTCGCGCCAATTTTTCATCCAATCAGAAGTAAAACCAAAACCAATCATTACTCGCTTGCACTCGTTTTCCCGCGCTTGGCGTCAGCTACATGTAATTACCCCGAGTTTTGATTGGCTCCCTGTATTGTCTATGTCCTTTGTGTTTGGCTAGAGTGATTACTTTGGTTTTGGTTTTACGACAGTCAATTGCAAACTGCTCTATCAACAGATTTCCTTAGCTTGGTCCGGTGCCACTTAACTTAGTTTACATCTACCATAAATGAGCCTAATACACACCAGAAGAAGTCTAAAGTCAGCTCCAAAAATTACTAAACAAGTAATAAATGGACTAAATGAAAATATTGGTTACGCGGGAAACGCTTTTGAATACTGCGGAACGTATACCTGAAATATTTGGTCAAACTCCACAGAACGCCAAGGCTTCTTTCGCTGCCCGTTGCATCTTGATGACGTTTAAATCTCCGCAGCACATTGGCGCGAAAAAACTGTTTGCCTTCCATTGCTATTCGACCCAAGAAGAAGAGAAAAATCGCCCACTCGACTCCACTGAAGGCAATTGTGGAAGGAGCGAGGCATATGAACAAATGAAGACCAAGCAGGGCTAGGTAGCTGAGTGTGTCACGAACAAAGATGAAATAAGGTGTCATGAAGTATTCCAAGTAGCGATCTAAGAGAGAACAGTAAGTGTCCAAATTATCGTGGATTGGATACAAATTAAATTAAATTAACATTAGGAAAATTATTGACGTTTCCCACGGAATTGTCATGTTGTCTTTCCTGAAATTTGTTTTTAAATTACGATTACAATTTTTAAACTACAAGGGTTGTCAAAACTTTCCTCAATATGCGTGAAAAATGTACGAAACAAGAAGTAATCAGTACTGCGCGTACCGTAGAAGTCTTTTCCCTCTATTTCTGTGAAAGGAAAGGAAAGGAAATCAGACATTGAACAAGAGTGCTTAAGTAGGCTTGATCATATCCACAAATTTCTTAACATTCCAAGATGTTGACCTTATTACACGTAAAAGTGGAAAGAGTATTTAGGAAAGAGTATTTATTGCTTCCAAACATTGAATATTAAACAAGTGAAACAGAATTTTCCAACTTTAAAGCTACTTTACTGGGATGGCCGACAGTTATTCCAATCGGGAAATGAAAAAGAAAAAATATTCGGAGAATTTCCGGCGGTGCTTGCCAATCTCATTCGGGTGGTTTTCAATGACCTTCGGGCAACCACGTTATTGTTGGGAAATCAACCCCTTGTTTGAGTGACTGATCCTGTTGTATCTTTAACTTAAGGCTCCTTTCACACCACACGAGAAATGTGAAAATGCAGCTTTATTTCTTCGGTTAGGCCAACAGTCCATATTACTGAATCCTTCTCGAAAACGGAGCTTTTCGAAAACGCTCTTCAAACCGGAGAAATTTGAAAACGTCGGCTTTGCGTTTTAGTGTGGATGGAAAACATTTTGAAAACGGAGCTTTTCGAAAACAAATAAAACAAGTAAACTAAAAGGATGAAGTCACAATAATCATGTGATTTCCCAGTCGGAGTTTTCCTCAAACACAAATCCAAAATGACCTGTGATTGTTGCGTCCTCAAATTTCTCCGGCGCAGTGTGGACTGAAAACATTTAATGCGTTTTCAAAATGAAAACACTGGTGTCAAATTTCTCCGGTGTAGTGTGTACTGGGCCTAATTCAGGCTGTTCCATATACGTACCTTGAATAATCTTCGTTCCAACTTTCTCAGGATCTTCGTATTCTCCGAACATAGGAACCTCGCGGCCATTGTTGATCTTCTGCAGTTCCTTAAGGTTGACATGTCTTCCGATTGCTATTGGCAACAGTTGTACGTCGGACAATTGTCCAGCTCTCTCCTTAACTTTCTGTTTCTCGTTTCTTGCGCATGTTCTATGATCCGTTAGCAAAATCAAGACCTATGTGAATAGTATGCGTCGAATTTGTTTTTACTGAACAAGTTGATAGGAAATTAATTGAGAGCTAATTTAAAGATGCCATTTATAATTTCTATCGCAGATATTCTCTCACTTGAGCGATCAAATCAGTTGTCATCAAGTGCTTTACAGCCATATAGGGGGCATCTTATCTTACCTTTTTGCAATTACTGACGCATTCGCTATCGAACGCGGAAACAGCTTTCTCTAAATCTTTATGCAGCGCAGGGATGCCTTCGTTTCCTCCTTCAAGCTTATCCACCGCTTGCTTCAATGCTGTAACATCTGACAAATTGCTGTCAAAGTGAATTTTATCTTTTCCTCTTGTTATGATGTGGAACTTGACGTTCTTAAGGCCGTATTTATTCATCACAAACTTGATGGTGGCTTGCATCAGTTGAAAGGACAGTTCTGCAACTTCGGAAGTTGCGTTTATCACAAATGCAATTCCACGTTCTGACAAAAAATAAAAAAAAAGTAAATGAAGTTGTAATATTTTTTGGACATACAACCGTACACTTTCTTTGGAGGTCGCAGTTACCCTTTTGCAGTATTATAGAGTAACAACAGCGTTTGGATGCAATATAATATTTTCTCTCTAAGAACAAGCATTCAAACCAACAAAAAAACATTTAAGTCAGTACAAGAATTATGATCTCTACAACAGAGTGTTGTCCCTGGAAGCAATGTGTGCGTAAAAAATAATTTATTTTCTGAACACACTTATTATGAGCTTTGGTTAAAAATGGGCCTGTTTGATGAGTCTGGAATCCACTGACCTGAACTAGGCAGCCCTAAAAGCTATTTCACAACCCTCAAACTTAATTAAATACATGTCATGCTAATGTTCTCACTCTTAAAAGTGTTGTTTGTTCTTTCAGTGCTAAATAATCTCGCTTAACCTTGATAAACTGATCATACTTTTGTTTGCTTGTGCCTTTTCCCTGACTCGGTGTATCAGGTAGAGGACAAGGAAGAGGACTGGGAACAGCAGCAAATCAAATAGACAGCAGAGGTTAAGGAACAGCCATTTCCAATATGGTGTATTGCGCCATTCTCTTGAGTGGCTGATCCATTTGCTGTTCATTAGGCTGTAAAGAACTGGATGAGACAGTAACTAAGGAGTATAAACAGAATGTTCACCTCAATCAGACATTTAACTTAATTTAACTTTGATTTAGGCCACCTTTTAACAATTTTTAACTTAACTTAACTAGTGAGCAACACTCCAACAACTGGAAGTTTGGGAAACTGGTATTTAAAATCTCCAACAAGTTCCTCCTGACTATCACGGAATTCTAGGTCTACTACTTAGTTAGTACTGAATTTAATTCAGTACTAAGTCTGCCCCCCCCCCCCCCCCATAACAAATATATCATGTATTCTATCAATACTAAATATTGTATATAAATATACAATATTAATAAATATTGTGCTAGACCTTTAATAGTCACACCTTGTGAAAATGTTTTAAACTTGTTTCCTATACATTTTCCAGCTTGTCTTCTTTTGTCTTTTAAGACAAACTTAAAACTATTATTTGCACAACTTCTTAATACTACTACTACTACTAATAATAATAATAATAAATTATGTCCATGATAGTTGCATTAAATGAGTTTCACAAACTTCAAGTTTTAGTCTGTTTTAAAGTTTGAGTCTGTTTTGACCTATTTTAGTTTTATGAGTGTGTTTTTTTGTGTGTGTTTGTATTAAAAAATATTGCATTAAATTCTTTAAAAAATTGTACAAACAGCCTGCTGACCAACCTTCACATAAAGGAATGGTCGAGTACCCACCTAGGTAATAACAAAGATAGCCCCGACCTCTTTCTCCAGGACTGAGTTTTAAAGTACAATATTATTACTAAATCATCGCTCGCCTCTGGTATGGTCTGGGGGAGGGGGTCTTAACACTACCCCTTGTACCAAGGTGGAGTATAGGAATGTGTGTGTGTGTGCAAGGATTACAGACTGAACCAACAGGTTTCTTCACCTTCTTTTGTTCTAACTCAATGGCATTTTCCATAACATCACCCAAAGAATCTGCAAAAATTTGACGGTTTTCTGTGTTAGACTTTAAAGGGTTAAGGAGAGAAGAGGTGAACTCGTCCAAGGAGTGAGCTAGCTTGTTGAATTCTTCTTCATCTGGACCCTTTTCATCTGCTCTGTGGCGAACTTCAAAGTTCATCTATTGGTAAGACAGAATGTTGTTGGTAAACAATAGCCAAACTAACATTTATGATAAACATGAACCATTCTATCTTAGAACTACAAAACAGCAATAATGTTTAATAACTTTTATATCAGACCTGGCAAGGCTATTCAAAGGTTAAAGTTTAGGTGAGAATGTAAATTTGTAGTAAAATTATACTGAAACCAGCACTCCACCTTTTCAAAAACTTTTTTTAGGCAGGCCATCTTGGATAATTTGGCCTTTTTCTAAATAATCCAACTTCAAACAAATGTTGTCATAATGTGAAAATAATGTTCTGGAATTACTCCTGGTGAAACACCAGCCACATTACAAACAGCACATAAATTATGAATTTCACATAAAAGGGAGTGTCAATAAATTTAAAGTTGTTAGGTTGTCAGCATGATATAAAGCAATCAAAAGGGACATGAAAATTGCAAACCTTGCAATGTATGTTAAAAAAGTATGTTAAGTGACGCACCCAACAGTAGTATCTCTTGATAATAAATATTTGGTCACAAAAAACAGACATATCATGTATTCAGTTCCACTCCAAAAGCAGAAATTTGTAAACTTCTCATATAAAACTAGAAAATTGTTATGACTGCTTTACAATATGAACTCAGGACACTTGCATGTAAGGACAAATAATACTAACATATCAGTATATTGTAATTGCCTAGTCTCTTACCTTCATGGCCATAAACAATGCATTAGAATTGCATTTCGTCAGATCCTTTGGGGAAATTCTACTGACCTCCTCAGCATCCCCATATTGAATCTTCCTTTTCAGTTTGTTCTCAAAATCTGGCAAAAAGTAAAAGAGGAAATTTAATGCACATTTTGATATTAAAAGGTGGGAGGGGCAGTGGCCTCATAGTTAGTGCGCTAAACTCTGCGTCAAGTTGTCAGGGTTCAAGCCCTGGCTGAGGTCACTGTATTGAATGAGTTCTTGGTCAAGACACTTCATTCTCACAGTGCCTCTCTCCATCCAGGTGTATGAATGGGTACCGGTGAATTAAATACTGGGGGGTAACCCTGTAACGGGCTTGCATCCCATCCAGGGGGGAGTAGAAATACTCCTAGTCACGTCATGCCACAGAAACTGGAGATAAACATTGACCTGGTGAGGCACTTGGCTTGCTTGATTATGGTTAGAGTCATCAAACAATGGATAATTCAAATTGGCATCTGTTTGCTGGGAAACACACTTTACATGAACCTGTACCTTTTTTTCTTTTTTTTTTCCAGGTATGCAATGATCCCTCACCTCGAGCAATGGCACTAACCATTTAAATCATTCAGGCAAACAGCCCTCAGGAGGTCTATCTCTATATAAGATAAATACAGTCAAACCTGTATATAACGGCCCTGTATAAAGCAGTCACCCTGTCCATCATGGTCACTGAACAACTTCCCAAAAATCGCCCCTTATATTTACTGTTAAGTTGACCTGCATATAGTGGTCACCTGTATATAACGGATGCGGTCACCCTTTAGACTTCCTGAATCCACAATTTCATTATCTTTTACCTGTATATAACGGTCATGAAATTGGGTTACGACTAACAAATAATGACAAGCTTTATTCATCAGCTCGTTAAATAGCAGCCACTAAGACAAGGGTCTCACAAAAATACAAATATTAGTACTAAACATGATCAGTAATACATGAACATGAAGAACTTTCTTTCACACTGAGTAAAATTAATGACATACCACATGAAATCAAGCTTCGAGCTCCGAAATATCAGAAAACTATTACCGATTTTTTTTCTCTTCTTGAGATCCATATTGTTACGTTAAAAGCTTTTCCTTATAATTTTATGAGGTGATTTGTTTTTATATGGGGTCACACAACTCTTATACAAACTATCCTCGTGGCTTATTTTTTTTGTTTGTTGTTCTGTAAATCTGCCATTAAATTGTAATAAATACAAGGAAACGTAGATCCCAGTATACTGCAACTCCCTTAAAGTACACCACAGACATTTTGTGGGCCTTTTTTTTATCGTCTTTATTTCGTTGCTGTTACCGTTATCAAGTTGTCAATAAAACATAAATTGAGTGATTATTTGCACATAAAAATGCTATTTATTGACTACCAGGGGAGTTTAAGGGAAACCTGTGTACAGCAGTCACCCTGTATATAATGGTCACCTAGCCATTTCCCAAGGGTGACTGTTATAAGCAGGTTTGACTGTACCTCCATTATTTATATACTGTACCATATTGAAAAACTGACAGGAATAAAAATAAATACTGGTTGAAATATAACAGATTAAACATATGTCAGTAGAAATCATGTCCATACTATTACAGAACTAAAATTATAGATGAGGGTTTCAGTTTGAAGTGTTCTCTGTTTTCGATATTAGAGAGAATGGTGTTCACTAAATAAACAAATGTTCAATCCTAGATCATGTAATTAAAAGCATATTTCTCAAGATTCCAATTTTGATTTCCTTTAATTTCTTTCAAAACTTTTTTCCAAAATTTCAGTTGCCAAACTGGGGATGCAGTTTATCTGTGAGTGCAGCTTATCCACTGGTGTTTATGGTATATAGATTTTACAACTGACTGACTGACGTGTATAGTATTAGACATTTCTTTGTAAAGTTCCATGAGTGTAGGCATGGCGCTATATACAAGTGATCACTATCATCATCATCATCATTTATAAATTATTAATAATTATTAGTATTATCTATTATTATTATTATTATTATCATCATCATTATTATTATTATAAGTCCTTAAAGTCTTGCCGCTTTTAACTTATGGTGCCAAGTTCAATCCGCGAGCCTAGGGCAGTCATAAGTCTGCTGGATTACTTGATGGATAGAATCCTCCTAAGTATGTGAGCAGTTCCAAAGAGGACGGTCTTCTGTAGCTCTGTTATTCTAATATTACCTGGAATCTTGCCGATGTAGTCTTCTGTTCCCTTCTTGACAAGCCCAAAAGTTCCAATGATCACTGGGACAGTTGTTGTTTTCATTCCCCACGTTTTCTCAATTTTATTATTATTATTATTATTATTATTATTATTATTATTATTATTATTGGTATCACTTACTTATTATTTTTGACTTAAGTTTTACCTTCCTTTTCCTTATCTTCATTTAGGCAATTTAATTCAATTCCAGTCTCTGATTCAGCTGTTGTGTCATAACATGACCTGTAAAAGGAAAATTAACCAAAGATAAGTCATCATAGAAGCATCATAAGTCATCAAAAGTACCTTTTGTATGACCTGATCAGAAAATGAAAGTGTACATGCAGCTGAATCATGTTTAATGCAGTCCAAAAATGTGCCAAATCTCATTATGAAAACAATATTCACATCTTGGTTCACAGCATGTAACTGACATTACAATGTATCTTTGTTGTGTTAATCTCACAAATTTGTGATACCACAGCTTTGCAGAAGGAATCAAGAGACAACACCATTCTTTGTAATAAAGAATATGTATATGGTGTAGATCTAAAACAATAACTAAAAAAAAGTTTGTACAGTTTTTAAAGTTAATATAGTCTCACTAGTGAAAATACAAAGTGTTTGGGACAATACAGTAGGAGTTGATGGTGGTCATTCAAGGGTGATTTTCTGTCTTATCCACTTCTTATTTTCCCAAATGAATGCACATGT